TCTTTCTATATATATATATATATATATATATAATCGTCTTTCTATATATATATATATAGAAAGACGCTTGGAAATTGTTTATATATTTGTATGTATCTATATGTACATTTTGTATATATATAATATATATCGATATATATTTGAGGCCAATCCATAATATTTCGTGTTTCATAGGCAGACCAACAGTTGAGTTTGCTGCATTTTGTCGAGTTGGGCGTTGGAACTTCGGAAGAAGACGCGGAATTCGTTGGGTTGTTTGACGCGCTCGGGGGTTGTGACGAAGCCTCGACACCTTCGACCGATCCCGCCTCATGTGCGCCGCTCACGCAATTCCTGGCGCCGCTCGTGGCTGGGAATTCCCATACGTTTCTGCTTGGGTTTGTGGATGCCCGCGTGCCGGCGGCGATGCTGGATGTCCTCTGGATCATGTCGGGCGTCCGGCTCGCTTCGTGCGCGTGCGTCAAACTCACGGGCATCGATCGCACGTTGCTGGACTTTGAACCGTTCCCCGACACCATCGACCAACCCATTGGCGGCCTCCAATCCCCATCTTCACTAACCACCGTAACCCAAAAGTTGTTTGGAGCGTCCAAAGATGTTGCCATGCGCCGCCGATCGTCTGCGCCGGTATGTTGCTATATATATATATATATATATATATACAAAAAAAATAGCCTCTCTCTATATATATTTGTATATTCCCTCTTTATCTTTATATCGACGCTATTTGTTGTGTAGATATCGTTGTAGATAGGATTCTAGTTATCGTGTGCTTTGCTTCAATTTTTGGACGTGGCACGTGATTTGAGAATCATGTTGAGCTCAAGATTACATGTACAATGGTGTACGAAGGAATGTATACTACTACTATTACTACTATTACTACTAATACATTTGGATGGGATGAAACGGAGATACGAATCAATGAGTGGCTGAAATGATTCTTTTATGACTGTTTTGATTGGCTAGGCGAATTTAATTAATCATACATTTGCCTTCGTTTTCGTCCTATTTTGCCCTTTGTTATGTTATTAATAACGTTTTGGACTTGGATTTGAAATGGATATATAAACACGATTCTTCGATCGCTACCTAGCTAACGAGTAGCTACAAACGATTTGTGTGTGTGTGTCGATATGTCTTCTATATATAAATATATATATATGTCTTCTATACATAAATATATATATATGTCTTCTATATATATATATATATATGTCTTCCATATATAAATAAATATATATGTATATGTGTCTTCTATATATAAATATATATAAAAGACATTTAAACAAAAAACATTTCGTCATATTCATCCTCACGACGGTCGTTGTTGTTGTTGCTGCTATGTGATGTGGCTTCTTCATCACTCTGCTCGTTTATAAATAGTTCGATGTTAAATCAGTATTTTATTTTTATTTATTTATTATTTGGATATACATAAGATATATTTGAGATACCCACCTGATTTAAAACAATATTCAATATGCTGACAACAGTCGATCGATCGATTGTATGTATTATATTTCTAGTCGAACGAGTCAATGTCAGTTCCGTTACCCGCTGCGATCGCTACGACTTCGACGCCCAAGGAAGCTCACCATCCCATCGTGCCTCTGCTGCGGTTGCCAGGAGTAGTAGAAGACGCCCAGCAGCAGCAGCACTCGCCGAGCCATCCCGTCACCATTTCCCCTTCTACTTGCATTTCCACATCTCCAAAATGGAACCACATGGTGCCGCCAGCTCCATCAGCTGACCTTTCGGCATCGTCGTGGATAGAGTTGCTCCAGGAAGCGCATGTCCCTGCCATGGCTCCGCCCGCGCCAATTGTGTCGGGTACGTGTACACCTACGCCATCCGATTATTTCTCTTGACTTGGCTATACTACAGTAGTATGTTTGATTGACGATGCACGGTGTTGCGAAATATCTGGATTTATAAGTTGGTTATGTTTTTTTTGTCTTCGCCATAGTATCCTTAGATGTTGAAGGGGGATCATGAATATATTGTATATATATATGCATATCTTCATATATATATATGCATATCTTCATATATATATATGCATATCTTCATATATATATATGCATATATTCATATATATATATATATATATATGCATATATTCATATATTCATATATATATGCATATATTCATATATTCATATATTCATATATATATATGCATATATTCATATATATATATATTTTCCGATGACTCCACTCCTACTCTTATGTCATAAACTTGTCTACATTCTGTGGTGTTGATGCCACTTTCCACATTGTCTTTCTTTTACCCCAATTTTGGACTATTTTTGTGCTAATTCGCCAAATCTATCGATCGATTCGTTGTACTGACTTTTGTATGTAAAAATCGCCAGGTGTCACACTAATTTCATTCACACACTATTTCGATGTAGAATTGGTCGAAGAGTGGATTTGATTGGCTACTTGATTCGTGGTTTTGATTGGTCAATCGATGATTGTCTGCCGATTTGGTGCTGCTCATTCGATTGAGCACTCGATTCGACTTGACAATACTAGACTTGTTATATAACATTTGTCTTATATATATCAGGTTTGTCATATATGTATGTATTGATATACTACTTGGATTTGTAAGACTTGTCACATATATACAGTATATACATGTATAAATGAAAAATCGACATAAAAATGGTACTTACCGTATTGTCGATTTGATACAAATTTCGGGAGGGGGTGCAATCGAATCGCGCCGTCCAAACTGATCCACAATCGATCTGATTGGTTAAATTTGATTGAGAAGGTTTTGATTGGCTAATAATTTTGAGCTCACCTGAAGTAGCCAATCAAATCGATTTAAATTCGAACGACAAACCACGCCACAACACGAAATTTCACTCGAAAGCACAATATATTTATATATTTATATACTGTATAAGTACTCGATCAGACAAATGACTTTCCAATATATACACGACGACTAATGCAACATACATTCGATATAATACTGTAATTACATTCATACAATATAGGTTTGGATGCCGAGAGTGCTGCCGTGGTGACGGCCACCGAAGCCCAGTTGCTTCGAACTCACTACGACCGATTGTTAACTGTGCTAAAAGATCAGCATGCCCACACAACTTCGCTCCAGCACCAGCTCGATGAGTTTCACGTAGCTCAAGAAGAGGCCGAAGCTATTCACCACGTGCAGGTATACAGATATATATATATATGTTTATATATACATGTTTATATATATATGTTTATATATATATATATATATGTTAATTGTATATATGAGTTGAAGAAGTCAACTATAGATGCACTTGAGTTTAATAATACCGACTACAGATATGTGGTGTGTGACTGACTTGGTGAATAATCGCTAAAGTGTGTGGTGTTGTTGCTGATTTAGTTGCAAGATTTAAAACTCGTCAACGTGGATTTACGCAGCAAGTTGCGCGTGTTGGAGACGCAATCGGGCATGCAAGCGGTGCTGGAAAAGGTACGACTGTCCAAATTAACCTTGATATAGCGTTGAATTGAACGGAATCGGAGACGAATTAACTTGTCCATGTGGGTTCACATGATTATTGAAATGCCGAGATGTGGACAACCAGTACTACTAGCTTGGATGTGTGTACTAGTTCTATACTATATATATATATATATACGACCAAAAAGTCATGGTTATGCTAGTACGACGTGGAAATACACACTGTCACGTCCGAATTGGAGAAATTAAGGGCCGTGAACCTCGGGTTGGAGTTAAAGGTAAGCCTAAATATATATATATGAATATGTGGAATATTCAAGAAATATACACAATATTATCATGAAATAATTATTAGCTGGCCGCGAATGCAAGCGTGGACTTGCGCAATCGATACCGTGATATTGTCAAGGAGAACGTCAGGTTGCATGAACAAGTGCTGGCGTTGCGAAAGAAGGAGCGGTAGGCTCTGAAGTTGTTGATATTTTATGATTATGTCAAAAATCAGTGTTGTCAATATATATATATGATGGATCCAACCACGAACGTATGATATTTAACTTGTTTTGTGACATGGTAGACACTTCTTATCGTCGAAAAAGATGGTGGACGAGTCGGCCAAGAAGATCGACGCTCTTTCCAAGTACGAAAAATAATATCTCTCATGTATACTGCATATATATATATATGGACAGCACTAGTACGTTTAAGTTAAATAAATTATATCATATACCCATGAATATAAAATAAAAGAGTTTCGATTCCATTTAATCATAAATATATATATATATATAGCGTATATATAGCACTAGTATACCTATGCTCCATTCTCTATCGTTCAATAAACTAATATATATATATATATTTAGATTGGTCACAACCAAGGACGACATGCTTATGGAAGCTAGGCTGGGCGAAGCTAGGTTGAGTGCTCAAGTAGATCACCAGCAGCAGAAAAGTGTGGCGCTGCAGCAGCAGCAGAGTGTTCTGGCCGCAGAACACGACAAGGCAGCGGAGGAGCTCATAGCCGTCAAGATGTACCTTGCCAGCATTCAAACGGTATTATTCACTATACTACTAGACGGAGGAATCGTTGTAGTAGTACTAGTAGTACTAGATATACTCGTTTGGACTTACTGTATGTAGTATAAATTTTGGCTCAATACGATAAAAGTGGTCGAGGTGGTTTGAATCTATCCAATCTGGATGGACTATCTGTGAATCATATTCAGTTGAAGAACAAATCTTAACTGTCTACTTGATATCGGTTTGAAACTGCTTGGCTGGTCGATATATATATATATATACCATTATGTAGATATATATGTTCATTTTTTTTTTGCCTATTGGTTGGGAGTTGAGTTTTGTTGCTGCCTGTGAAACGGCATTTCATATTTACGGCGACAAATACTACAATCCATAGATCGTACACATCCTACCTATTTGGGTGTATTGTGAAGAAGTCCTTTTTGCATGCATATATAGTGCATTTCACCCAAATTTGGACTTGTCGCCAAATAGCATTTGAATCCATTTGATCGAATTTAAGCCTTTACAAACTATACTATACCAAGAGTAGTATATATATATATATATATATATATATATATATGGTCTTTTCCAATTGCGGAGGGACTGGCCGAATCCATCGTTTGAATTGGCAGAAATTCGACAAGACGTGATTTGATTGGCTTAGGCGGTTCTTTAACAATCCATTTCTCTCTTGACCTTTGATTCGGCTGATTCGAATCGATTTGACAAGAACTTTACTGTACAGTATACATCCTCGTAGGAGCAACGCAAAGCCGAGATGCTCGATCGATTCGTTAAGAAGCACGGGACCAGTTTGCTTTCGACAGATAAACAAAAATCGAATAATCCCAACCTTCAAGACCATGGGACAAAGGTGCTCGGCGCCATTAAACGTACGGTGCCAGCACTCGTGCCAAGTGTCCACAAGCTACTCCAGCGTCTGCACGTACGTAATTTGAAGATGCTAGTATTATTTCTAATTTATTCTAAAACCTAAAAATACTTCAAATACGTATTGATATACCCTAAAACAAACTAATTCAATTTGAATAAAAAATAACATGTAGGTAAAAAAAATATTTAGAATATATATTCCTAGTATTGGAGGTTTGAGATTTTGATTTGGTTGGATTGTATTTTTCAGAAAAAAGAACTCGGCTGTTTTCACGTGTTGTTGGATCCGTTCGGAGCGATGTGACTGCTTGTGGCTATTGTTGTACTAGTACGGTATACTAGAAGAAGAATTATTTATACAGTCCAACGATAAAGATTGTGCGACTTTTCTAGGTCTACCATGCTTGACTTCTGTGCGTTATATATATATATATACTGTACAAGTATATATTAGTATTATTGTATTATAGTAATTATGTGTATATATCATATATATATGCGATCTCGTGTTGTAATACATATATATATATATGTATATCATGCATATTCTCTTGTTTTGATGACTCTATTTATATACGAGGCCATATTGGATGCAAATGGTTGTGGATTGTGGTGGCTTTAATATGGAGATTTGCTTCGGACGTCGTCGTTTCAAGGATATATATTGGTGGGACATTGGAATAGGGGTCCTAGTATTTTTGTATTCGTTTTGGCTGACGAGGTCATTCAAAATGTTTTATTCTTGTATTGTGGACGCAATGATGGAATTATATATTGTGGATTCGATACGAATTTCCAGACCCCGTCGAATCGAATCTCGCCGCCGAATCAAATCACGACGTCGACGCTATTGGCTAATCCGTTTTTGAGTGGATTTAATTGGCTCTTTCACCAATCCAAAACTCTGGCGTGATTCAATATTGATCAGACAAACCAGGCGAATTTTGCAAGTTTATAGCAAATTCACAATACAAATTATATATTTTTTGTTACTTTAGGACCAAGAGGCGTCGTTGGTGGAGTATTCAAGTCGTGAAATGGACCTGATCAACCTCCTTGTGGAGCTGGCGACAGACCAGCAGCAGCTCACGCTCGCCCAAGTAACCTCTGGGGGCCGAAAAGGGCTCTAAAAATAAAATGAACGAATAAAAATATTTTGCATGAATAGTCCAACGGGCGGGGGATTTGTATCTATACCGTATATGCATGCATACAGTGGGTTGGAGCACTTTGGCGAATTCGCGGGTGATAATATCAATGCTCGCTTCGAATCTTGTACCCCAAGGGTGGTGTGGTGGCCACGGTGTAGCCAGATCGGGCAGTGCAGTAGCCGTGCAAGGGATACAGTACTACTGAGAACTGCAAGCTTGGAACCGGTCGACTGTCCATAACGTTAGCATTGGAATAATCACGTCAATGATGATATCGATCGATAGCTCAATATTGTACCGGTACATACATATGTATAAATCCGCTGACTGAGTAATAGTTCACTACATATGGTGCACGTCATCTAAAAACTTCCAACTGGCCAAATCGAGGAGTGGAGGTTTTATTATTTAACGTACAATTAATGTAGTTAAACCCAAAAACCAAATACGTTAAATACCGATTTCATGCGTTTTATCACTGCAGTGGGAGGTTAAAGGTCCCAACTGCCTCCGGATATTATATACGGATAAGAGTCACATACAAAAATCAATATACATCTCAGCGGCCACCCCTATGGCCAAATATCCAAGCGCCCATGTAAAATACCGCTAGGTTAAATATCTATTTCTGGACCAATTCAACACCAAATTTGAATCTGAGACGTAGAATTTCTTCATTACATTGAGATCTGTCGATTCTACGTCTCAATTTGCTGAAATTTTGAGTAATGAATATGAAATAGAAGTCAGAAAATTTTGTGAAAAGTTGGTAGTTTATAGATGACGTGCACCATAGCTAACGTTAGTGGAGTAGTGCTAACTATCTACTACTAGTAGTACCCTTCAACGAGGTGGGCATGCAGTAACGATACCGTTATCCATGGTGGCAACGACAGCATATCATGGTAGAGTGAAGGTGAGACCAACCACCAAACATATCCCACACGAGACAAGAAGGTGTGGCGATCGAGTAGTTAGTTGATTGCGCTGTTGTATACTAGTTACTAGTACTAAATGACGAGTACTAGTGAATACTTCGACGTTCAACTTGGGTGTGAAGGCCGCCCCGCCTAAGTGTAGTATATCATATATATATGTGATCTCGTGTTGTAATATATATATATATATATATATGTACATCAGGCATATTCTCTTGTTTTGATGACTCTATTTATATACGAGGCCATATTGGATGCAAATGGTTGTGGATTGTGGTGGCTTTAATATGCAGATTTGCTTCGGACGTCGTCGTTTCAAGGATATATACTGGTGGGACATTGGAATGGGGTCCTAGTATTTTTGTATTCGTTTTGGCTGACGAGGTCATTCAAGATGTTTTATTCTTGTATTGTGGACGCAATGATGGAATTATATATTGTGGATTCGACACGAATTTCCAGACCCCGTCGAATCGAATCTCGCCGCCGAATCGAATCACGAATCGACGCTATTGGCTAATCCATTTTTGAGTGGATTTGATTGGCTCTTTCACCAATCAAAAACTCTGGCGTGATTCAATATTGATCAGACAAACCAGGCGAATTTTGGAAGTTTATAGCAAATCCACAATATAAAGTATACATTTTGTGTTACTTTAGGACCAAGAGGCGTCGTTGGTGGAGTATTCAAGTCGTGAAATGGACCTGATCAACCTCCTTGTGGAGCTGGCGACAGACCAGCAGCAGCTCACGCTCGCCCAAGTAACCTCTACTGGGGGCCGAAAAGGGCTCTAAAAATAAAATGAAAATAAAAATATATTGCATGAATAGTCCAACGGGCGGGGATTTGTATCTATACCGTATATGCATGCATACAGTGGGTTGGAGCACTTTGGCGAATTTCAATGCTCGCTTCGAATCTTGTACTCCAAGGGTGGTGTGGTGGCCACGGTGTAGCCAGATCGGGCAGTGCAGTAGCCGTGCAAGGGATACAGTACTACTGAGAACTGCAAACTTGGAACCGGTTGACTGTCCATCATAACGTTAGCATTGGAATAATCACGTCAACGCAATGATTATATCGAGCGATAGCTCAATATTGTACCGGTACATATCCGGTACATAGGTATAAATCCGCTGAGTCAAAGTTAACTACATACTAGTAGCTATTGGTGTAGTGTTAACTATCTACTAGTACCCTTCAACGAGGTGGGCATGCAGTAACGGTACCGTTATCCATGGTGGCAACGACAGCATATCATGGTTGAGTGAAGGTGAGACCAACCACCAAACATATCCCACACGCGACAAGAAGGTGTGGCGATCGAGTAGTTAGTTGATTGCGCTGTTGTATACTAGTTACTAGTACTAAAGGACTAGTACTAAATTTAGTGAATACTTCGACGTTCACCTTGGGTGTGAAGGCCGCCCCGCCTAAGTGTAGGAAGGAATACACGCCACACTGGATCAAAACAACTTCTTGTGCGCGCACCTCTTGTCAGAGATGGGGAGTACATGTGTATGGGGGGCTAAATTATACTAAGAGTACTTGGTTTGCCCAAGGTCGCTGGCAGATTGACCCCTTCATGCGGCGCGGGAAAAGGATCGGCATTTGCAGTGAGGTTACAGCAACATCCGATAACACCCTTGAATCTGTGGACAGACTAGAACCAGTTCAGAATCCTCCATCCATCCATTCCCGTCTGAAAAAGCCACGATGATTATTCGTTCCAACCACACATTTTTCACTCACTCAAAGTTACAGTACTTATGTGGTGCTATTCATAACTACTACTAGTATAATAGTAACGTTATTATTAATAATAGTACTATTATAGTACGAAGTACTAGTAGTAGTAGTAGCATGCAGTAACGATACCGTTATCCATGGTGGCAACGACAGCATATCATGGTAGAGTGAAGGTGAGACCAACCACCAAACATATCCCACACGAGACAAGAAGGTGTGGCGATCGAGTAGTTAGTTGATTGCGCTGTTGTATACTAGTTACTAGTACTAAAGGACTAGTACTAAATTTAGTGAATACTTCGACGTTCACCTTGGGTGTGAAGGCCGCCCCGCCTAAGTGTAGGAAGGAATACACGCCACACTGGATCAAAACAACTTCTTGTGCGCGCACCTCTTGTCAGAGATGGGGAATACATGTGTATGGGGGGCTAAATTATACTAAGAGTACTTGGTTTGCCCAAGGTCGCTGGCAGATTGACCCCTTCATGTGGCGCGGGAAAAGGATCGGCATTTTGCAGTGAGGTTACAGCAACATCCGATAACACCCTTGAATCTGTGGACAGGCTAGAACCAGTTCAGAATCCTCCTTCCATATATTCCCGTCTGAAAAAACCACGATGATTATTCGTTCCAACCACACATTTTTCACTCACTCAAAGTTACTGATGTGGTGCTATTCATAACTACTACTAGTATAATAGTAACGTTATTATTAATAATAGTACTATTATAGTACGAAGTACTAGTAGTAGTAGTAGTAGTAGTAGTACATATGTAGTGAAATCGTATTAGTGGTACAGTACAGTGATTGCCAGGTAAAGTCGTTGCCACCACCGCCCGTCCCATTCTCAGTTTCTTTGACTGGCATCCCACGGTGGTACAGTACGATCCTTCTTTCGACAAATGAACATGGCTATGCCACGACATACTAAGTACTAGTACTAGTACTACAGTACTAGTATTCATTTGCGTGTTCTCAATCACCAAACCAATGAAACGCGTGTGTACCGTCGACGGCGTGTCCCGTTGTGATGCACGAGCTGAAGTGCAAGGAATGGCTGTGACAGTCGACCACGTGGTTTGAAGGCTTCGACGTTTCGTACGAACTTCGATTCGATTCGGCCAATGGAATCGCGTCACGTGCATTCGTGCACGATAGGGTGCACCAACGCAGGCGCGTCATCACACGGCTGGGCAGGTGGATCTCAGAAAGCAACTCCCCCAGCTCCCCCAAACGCAATCGACCGTCCACAACCACTTTACCTGGTCATTCCTTATCCTTCCAAGTCGAATACCAAAGTCTCAACTAAACAAAACAAAGCAAAGCAAAATCACGGGGCCCTACATAACCCAAAAGAGTTGGTACGTATGCTATTGTTTCACAATCGTAGCGATCGGTCACAGGATGTGGCAAGATGACATTCCGACTCGCGTAACAGATCGGTGTGATGGATTTCACGAACGCTCATTGGGTAAGGGCATCGTATGGTGTCTGTCGCAGACGCCACGCCACCAAATCTCGGCCATCGGGTGGCGGGGACTAATTCCATCGCTTCAACAGTAGTATTGTTTTATACTACGTAGTAGTAAACGTTTGAGCCTCCTGGTATACAAAACCCAAGTAACTACTTATTGGCACATAGTCGTAAACACAAAACTACACATTTCAGCTAGGGGTCAAGTAAATCTCAGTGGTTAGCGATACCAAGCTAGACACTGGTGATGTAACTTTACCCCGGGAATAGCATCG